CCCATGAAGTTCCTTTGCCTGAGCTGTCCAGTGAATTGCTTCCCCAAGGGTGGTGTCAGTAAAGTTCCATAGTGCCTTGGGTCTCTCAAATGAAGGTGAACTCTACAAATCCCTAGAGTTCCCTGTCTCTGAGGTGAACTTATTGCTCTAGCCTCATGGCTGATATAGACTTACTGAAAACCCTTCATGGGTTTCTGATTTTCTTTAGTGAACCTGCCTCAACAAGAATAAAGATGAAACGATTGAGTGATGACCCAGGAAAATATTATACATTATACAAAATGACATGTCCATAGTTAAGAGGAAAAAATAACTTGAGCATTTATATAACATAGTAGTAATTCTTCAATTCAACACATATTGTAAACACTGCATTAGTCAATATGGGGATCCTAGAGTAAATCAAAATTGTTAAAGTGAAGACAAAAATATGCAATCATAAAGCAATTAAGGAACAATTTTAAGGAACATGGCAGGCACTAAATAAATGAATGAATGAATCAATGATGTCAGCCTTTAAGCAATAAGAGTGATTGCAAGTACACTTTTATACTTAAGTACTGTGGGGGTTCAGATTTTATTATAAGATTCTAAAATAGCGAGCTTAGGCCAAGAAGTCTTCTTATAAGTGTAGAATTTGAAATAAATATAAGATTTTAAAATAGCATTGGGGTGCCTGGGTGGCTCAGTCGGCTAAGCGTCCAACTCTTGATTTCAGCTCAGGTCATGATCTCAGGGTCATGAGACTGAGCCCCGCATTGGGCTCTGTGCTCAGTGTAGAGCCTTCTTAAGATTCTCTCTCTCCCTCCCCCTCTGCCCCTCCTCCTGCTTGCTCTCTCCCACTCAATAAATAAAATCTTAAAAAATAAAATAAAATAAAATAAAATGGATGAAATTAGAAGATGTTATGAAGGAATTCATATGATTAATGATACCCCTGGGAGAAATTTAATTTAAATAGGTACTGGGAGCTAGTGGCCCACTTCATTTATATTAGTGGTATTTGACCACATTTTACAGATACACTTCTTTGTCCCAATTAGGTATTGGTGCTTTACTAGTAATTTGCTAATATTAATATTGGAAGTTTTGGAATTCTCCAACTATTTGCATTAAAAATAACCGAGATTATTCTACATAATCCCAATTATAATGTCATTCTTGCTTGCATTATGATGGGCTTTCCTTAATGAAAGAAATGAAGTTATAGCTAGAACTAAAGGAGGAGACATAAAAGGGAATGCATCTCAAATATGTCTGCCATCATCAGAATGTTGAAAACATGCAGTTGAAAACCACTGTATTAGGATTAGAAATCTTTTCAACAGATATGTATCTAGACACTATCATATGTTGTCTGCTTTTGTTCATTATGGTATTTTCAGCATTTAATGTAATCCTACATATTTATAAACATGTTTAATAAATATTTGCTTTTATTTTGGTGATATTCAACGAGCTAACCAAATGTTAAACAAAATAATACCTCATGATATTCAATATACTGAAAAACCTTATTTCCTGACAATATCAGATAGGTGATGCCTAAATGGAATTATTTGGTAAGACTAGATGGCCAACGTTATGCTTGTTCTGTATATATTTAGGATAGGATAGAAAAGGATTTCCAGTCTAGGAAGGAAGCCTGAAGGAACACATAACACATTGTTATAGAATAACATAAAACTACATATAATTAAATACCAGGAGAGGAACAAAAAGAGCAATTCATCTTATCTGGAGAATCTGAGGGTAACTTACTAAGAAGTGGGATTAGAGGATGAATCCAATTTGGATAAAAGGAGGGAGGGCAGTTAAGCTTCCTGGGAAGGTAGGGGAGGCCATAGAAAGGCTGGCTGTGGGTTAAAGTGTGGAGTCTTGAAGAGCTGTGGAAATAGGGTCAGATATTATAAAGAAAATCAGGAAGGCCTAATGGACTCTTCTCTTAATGTACTACCTTCTTTATTCACAGTATCACTTACCTTGAAGAGAGACTATAGTTATTGCTTATTCTAGAGGCATTTTTAATCTTTAATGATAGAACCCATTACTTTAAAAAAAAAGGAGAAAAGTAAAATTGTCTTCTTTCAAGTCAGCTTGGTGACTCAACACCCAGCTCTAGAGTCTCCATTTTATTCTGATATCTAATTTGAAATGTAAAATCTTCTTGGTTACTAGTATTCTATAATCTGCTACTTTCTTTCCTTTATTCATATGCCACTTCATCTTAAGATCTTTTACCATGGAACTTGAATGGTTAGAACATCTAACCATTGTAGGTTCTGGTGCCTTCCACCAACTTCTCTGTAGGCCCTTATGTGCTATTAGCCATCTGATTAAAGCCCAGGCTCTAGGCAATAGCATGAGCATTTGAATCCTGTTTCTGCCACATATTAGCTGGGTAACCTTGGGCAAATTACCTAAATTCTTTGGTTCTGTTTCTTCATTGTAAATTAAAAATGAGGATAGCATTAGTAATTACCTCAAGGGGTTATTATGAATATTAAATAAATTAATGCAGATAAAGCACTTAAAACAGCACTGGGCACATGGTGAGTGATATATAAGTGTTAGCTATTACTATTATCTCTAATGGGGAGAAAAAATGTACATCTGAATTTAGTATAACTATACTAATGAGCTCATGTAAGCTCATTAAAATTTTTGATAATTTCACATTTAAGTTGCATTTTAAGTGATTCTCGGAATAAAATTTAGCTTGGAAAAGACCTCAAACATCTTCTAACACAATTTCTCTTCCAGTGCCGTAGCAAAAGGCCTGGCATGGAGTAGATGTACTACCTATTCAATAAATACGCCCTATGTGAATGAGTGACATTGCAAAACAGAAAAGACAAACGGGTAGTTATTATACTAGGTAGAAGTATGCTGGGTGCTTTGGGAGCACAGAAAAGGTGAGTCTAAACCCTCCACAGATAGAAATAAATCTATAAAATCTACCTAGAGGGCACAAAACTCAGCTGAGTCTGAACGATGCACAGGAGTTGATCTGGTGAAGAAGAAATTTAATGGGTCTAGATAGTTCTTTTATACTATTCTGGTCAAACTATTCAAAATAGGGCAATTAGTAAATGAGAATGATTTTGTTGCTATTTATACCATAACGTGCACTGGAATTGCAATTTATCAACCTGTGTTCTAACCGGTATCAAATTATTCCAAACAGGAAGGGTTTCCTAGTAATTCATATTAAAAATGTATATGTTTAGACCTTTTGAAAAGTCTAATTGAAAGAAAAATAATAGTTATCTTTTACTGAGTAGTTATCATGTACTGGCCTTATAATGAACTCATAAAGAATTAATTCATCTAAACCTCACAAGAATAAAGTTCTCTTACTGCCAACTGATAAAGTGAGCAAGTAGAAGAGTCAGGGTTTGAACTCAAGGCTGCCAAGTTGCATGCTCTAAATTACTACACTAAGCAAAATTTTGGATTGATCACTCACTAGAAATGCTGTCTTGTTTTCCTTTTGTATAATTTGAAGAAATATTCAGAAAAATTACTACATTAATGATATTGATTCAGGATTCATGCTGGGACTTTTGTAAACTGTTACGCAAAACGTAATTTATAAGTTTCCCTTCAACACTACAAGGATGAGCACATCTCAAGATGTCTTGCTCGTCAGCACTATTCTCCAGCTGAAAGTGTTTTCACATCCACATCCACATCTTCATTTGTTTTTTCCCCTAGTGGGTATAGAAAACTACTTGAATAATGCATATTACTTTCCATATTCTTTCAACAGAATATTGCATACTTAAATCATTAAGATGGATTCCTGGTACGGACTCAGAATTTAAACAAAATAAAGAAAACCTCATTTGTAAATACCTGGAATAATATTCAGTACCTAAATATATTCTATAAATCCAAAAATGTATCAAAAACCTAGTATTCTTCAAATAAAGTCTTTCAAATAAGAAAGTAGAGCACTCAAGTTCTTTCTCCCATTAAACAGCTTCATTTTCAGGCTTCCTTCACAAAAGGAGCTGAATACAGGAAGGCCATTTTAGCTCTGCTGTTGCCTCCCCTTAGATTTTAACAGATGTGGAGATCAGGTCACTCTCTCCCTCTACCTTCACCACTAGCCAATATGACCAGCATCCTCCAGCATTCTGGAGATAACCCCTTTTATGCTTTTTTTTTTTTTTTTCCCAAGTCCTTTACTGTATGTATATCCCTACTATTGACAATAAGCCGCAATGTTGGATATCATTAAGTTTCACTAATGTTTTCTAGTCACTTCTGTATTCTTCCAAATCAGAGGATATAACTGGCTCCACCAGGAAATGAAATAGAGGTCATTACAGCAGCAGTGACTTTCAAGCTGTTTGCTAAATTTAGCTGTCCAATACTTTCCACTCTAATGAAAACTGTGAACTACAATTATAGAATGCTGGAACAGAACACAGCTTAAAGGTCACCGAGTCCAATCTCCCATTGTTTTTCTGATGAAGGTATGGGGGCCTAGACACAGTCTGAGATTTGCTTGAGGACACAGAGCTTGTTAATGGTAGAGATGCAACTTGAACTAAAATCTGCTCAGTCCGGGGCAGCGGTGTCCGTATTACTACACCACAGATGCTCTGCTTCCCATGGTCAGTCTTACCTAACTAGATCTCGCAGCAGAAATATAGCTGATATTATTGGTTGTGGCTTACCTTCTGCAGCCATTCATCAATTTGGTGCCTGAATGTGAAATGGCAAAGGTGTCTGACTTACAAGTTGCTACAAGAGAAATGAAATTATTTCATACCCAAACCCTGCCCCCAACTCTAAAAACTTCCTGCTTTATGTTCATCAATAATGAATGGCCCATCCCTGCAATACTCAGAGGGAGCTTACATTGCACTTTTGAGCAGCCGGTTAGTAATGTACAGTGGATAGAGCCTTTCTTTCAAATCCCAGGGCAGCGGGTCCTTCAAGGCAAGCATTGCATTTTCAATTAGCTGCTGAGTGAATGCCTGGCATGTGTATTAGTGAAGAAGCAAACAATTAGCTTATTGTTTCTTTCTGTATTGTGCTGAGACGTTCTAAGAGATTGGTGGGGGAACAGACAAGCCAGGCATCACTGTGGAGTTGAAGAAGGGATTTACTCAGACCTCGGCATCTTCACTTGCTCGCTCTGGAATTACAGCTATTTATTACAAAGTGCCCTGTGTGGCTGGGTGGAGTGTGCCTGAGGAAACACATCCCAGACACCACCTGGGGTTAGTCTTTCTGAGCCCTTCCAGTCTCTGACTAATTCTCGTCATTATCATGGAGCCCAACAGTCCCAAAAAGATACAATTTGCTGTGCCTTTATTCCAGAGTCAGATTGCACCTGAAGCAGCAGAGCAGGTAGGTGGAATTGGGTGGGGACCAGTTCCTGTATATAAAGTAATACAGACATACATTCTTATTAATTGAAAGCTTCTCTACCTCTTGAATTTGCCTAACTTGGTGACTTCCCAGGATATGTGAATAAGAAATAAGTTGGTTTCCATATGGCACTTGTATTTGAGTTGCATTGGGTGACCTATTGACTAAAATGTAGCATTTCATGTGATAAAAAATTGCACCCGTTAGAGAAAAAAAATGGTTATATTAGTGATTCAGATTTGGATCCAAAAATCTGTTTGCTTTTGCTTACTAAATTAGCAAGTTCAACATTTAGAGAAACCTTAAATAATTCTCAGAATTAGCAACCTTTTATTTCATTATTTATAAAATAAAAAAGATTCATTTAACAATGAAAGCATTAAACTTTGAAATAATTTCAGATTATAGGGTTAATATTTTTTTAATGTTTTTCATCATATATTCAAAGCAGTAATTATAAGTATGTGTAATATATGATAGATAGGATTTGTAGGTGGTATGTATAATTTAAAAGACATTTTATTCAGATATTAAAATAGTATTAAACATTTCCTGGATTCCTTTTCTATGTCTAATATACCTATATATCTCTATTTCTGTCTCTCTTTCATGTAAAATTGGTTTATATCTGTATCACCTTTCATATTCAGATTTATTTAGACTCCTGATGCAATGAAACCCCTTAAAAGACCATTTGTGGTAAAATTACAACAGTGGGGAGGCAAAAGCAGAAAAAATTTATGGGGTCATCAATCTAATTCATTAATTTCTTACAACCTCAATTATCATTGAATCCTTTTCCAAATATTTTACACAAAGTCTTAAAAATACTTACTGAATCTGAGACTCATAACTTTCTAGGATGTTTTGATAATCTGAAATAGATCCTCCCAGACTCAGGCCAGATAAATATAACCTTGAACTTCATATATCTATATTGAATGGAACATTGGTTCTGTCCTAGACAAAATGTCATTGGTAAATTTTATCCTCTATCCTACAGACATATATTTTAAGAATTTACCTATATATTTAAGAAATCAAGAACACTTTAGAAAGTCTAATCATAATATGCTCCTGTAACTCTTAAAATAAGAAAAAAAACCCCACATCAAACCTACTGGTTTTAAATGAATTACTCTCCTAAAATCCATACTCATTCTTTATTTGTCCTAAATATGTTACTAGAAAATAAGACAACCTTATAATATTAAGTGAAATTAAGAACTCAGGCTGTTAAATTTAACCTGCTAGAAATTTTAAGTTTTCTGAGCTTCTCTTAACCTGTTTAGAAATAAGGATAATGGATCTTGAAAGCATCATCATTATGGGGCTCCAAGAGAGCCATTAAAACTAGCAAGTCATCCTTGTACCTATGCTGCATATTATTTCAGTGGCATCATTTGATTATACACAACTATTTCTTTTCTGTGGAAAGGTAGCTTTTTTGGTCAAAGAAGGTGATACTAATACCTGAAAGTTCTACTCTCTGGCTTTCCATAATTCAAAATAGTGAGCACCTACTGTGTGCTCTCCAGAAATTTGCTTTTTTATGTTGGGAAAAGATGAGGATGGAACAGTTCTGCAAGCTGTAGAGTAACCTGGGGCAGCGTCTGACTCTCACTGACCTTAGCTGGGCCTTTGTTGTTCACAGATCAGAAAAAGAAGACCTACACCAGCATCGCTTGTGATTCTCAATGAACATAATCCCCCAGGTAAAGAAGCATGATGTCTTTGCATTGATAGAACAGAATTGTTTGAAGAACATCAGAGAGTATGTCATTGCCAAAAGGTTTCAATTTAGGATTTCAGTCAGTCCTAATCTAACAAGCTAGTCTATAAAAATGGATCATAAACAACATCAGAAATATAGAAACTGTCTCAGTCAACAGTCTGCTTTTCCTCTAGAATGACACATTGGTGATGATACGCTACAAAATGGTTTCTTGTTTGTATAGAGACCGGTTTAGTGCTTATTAATGAGCATGGTGGAAAGTTGTTGAATTAGGTTCCAAACCTCAAATTACAGTCTAAGAGATGCTTATATCTCTATAGAGTAGGTTTTTTATTTATGAAAGCTTGTCATGGGGTGGGCAATGAGCTAGCACTGGCCACAGCTTTGTTGCTGATGTCATGTCTGAATAATGCAATTGACAAGTAATCATATCAATTTTCAGTACTGCCCATTTGAGAGTCATTCTGAAGGGTTGCATCCATTTGTTGTGGTTTTACTTTCCATTTCCTGTAAAAAGTAAAGCTGTCTTATTCCTGATAAATGACTGTGATCTGCAATATACAAACATTATTTACTTATTGAATGGAGGTGATTTTTATCTCACATTTAAGTGCTGCTTCTAGAAATACAAGTAAGACAGCAAAGGTCATGGCATTAATTTGCACACAGGCAGGACTTGGTGTTGGGTTTTTTATAGGTCTAAACAATATGGGTGGACAAAAGGAGTTTGAATAACAGAAACATAATAAGTCTAAGTACAGGCTGTAGTGAATAATCTGTTTTAAGAATACCAAGGCAAAATAGTCTTTGATTTTTTTTTTTCAAATTCCTTTCTAATTAGAGAAGCATACATAAGAAAGTAAAATTCTAATAGAATATTCATCATTGAGTCTAAATCCAGGAAGGTGTTCAGCTGATGGGAAACCAAAGCAAATTTATTCCTGATGAAAACAGGGTTTGTTTCTATTTCTATTTCTTTAAAGTGCTATAGCATTTGAAAATCATTTTCAAATGTATTATCTCAATAAATGTTAACTTATTTTGGTTTAATAAGAAGTGCAAATGGTATGCATTTACAATTTACAAATAAACATAAAACTAAAATCTTCTGGGACGCCTGGGTGGCTCAGTTGGTTAAGCATCCGACTCTTGATTTTGGCTCAGGTCATAGTCTCAGGGTCGTGAGATGGAGCCGTGTGGCGGGCTTCATGCTAGGTGTGGAGCCTGCTTAATATTCTCTCTCTTCTTCTCCCTCTGCCCCTCTCTGCCCCCTTCTCTAAAAATAAATAAATAAATAAATAGAAAAATAAAATCTTCTCAGATTGGAAGTCATTTTACAGCAATTTTCCATCACTGTCTTTGCTCACAGCAGCAACTTTTCTACAATGTCCTAGAATTTACCTCCCCCAAGCCAACCTTATAAGGTGTTGCCCAACTTGATTTCTAAGTGTCCTGCTACAGGTATTATTACTGTTTGAACATAGTGGAGCTATGTAAATGACCCTTGTGGCTCTCATTCAAGCCCCCCAAAATAGTAACTAATGTTTTTTGAAAGCCAAATATGTGCCATTTATAGATGAGGGAAATAAGTATCAGAGTGGTGAAGTAATTTTTGTGGAAGTTACTCCACTGTAAGTGACAGATTATACAGACAAACTCAGATAAGTCTGATTCTAAAGCCCATGCATTTTCTACTGCATGATGCTGGCCCTGCAAATTTCAGTTTGCATTACATAGTGAATTCTCTGTAAATGGGATTAGACTTTCAGGCCCTATTGACAAGCAAATCTGAACCTTAAATAAATCTTTTGTCTAGATCACTAAATTTAGTAGATTAGGAATTATACTTAAGTATCCCTGTGAATCAAATTTAGATTTTCTCTAGAAATCTTTTTCTTACCAGACCTCCTAATCACTAGATGGCATTGTTCTATTTCCCTTATTGACTCCATACTTCTCTGTTTTTAATCACCACTGGAAAGAACTTAGATGCAAACAGCATCTCATAGAGAACTGTGTCATTTTAGTAATGTCATCTCCCTGCATCTTCAGCCTCTTTTTGGAAACTAGAATAGTTTAAAAGGGACTGATTAGCCCTTGCCTGTGCATAGTAATGTGTATGACAACCAGAGATTTCTGGACTAACATTGGGTTCCTGCAGCAAAAAAGCCAAACACTACATAGCTTCCCCAGTAAAAATGATCTATAACCATGATTACTGGAGAAATAAATATAAGAACCAACCAAACAAACCAAATAAACAGCAACAAAAGAACAAACACCATACTGAACCAAACGAAACCTAGATACTAATCTTCACTATCGATGTGGTCTTGGTTGGGTAAGGGACAACATCTCCAAGCTTTATTTTCTCATCTATAATGTAGAGATAATGTCCATCCTTTCTACTTCACAAGGTTGTTGCAATGATTGAAAGAATTAATGTGAACACCCTTAAAAGTTGTAAAGTGCAGCAAATGTTAGGTGTCATTAGCTGATGTGTTCTGGAATACAACCTTTGCATGTGATATTTAAAAGTTAACATAGGAACAGAATTTTCATAATCTCATCTGTACTTAATATTTCTGACTGACCCAAAATTTTTTTCCAAATATTACCTGAACATTCTCTACAAAACAAAACAAAGTAACAGCAACAACAAAAACTTCAAGTGTTAAATGACCTTATTTAAGCAATTGTCTCTTCGAGCCCTAAAAAGCGATATATTCTTTACAAATAACAATTGTGTACAGCTCTAAATCCTGGTAAACTAAAAAAATCTCTTCAATTTTACTGAAATTTCCCAGAAAATAAGTGAGTGTTCTTGGAATCACCTGTCATTAATGCTACTTAAAATTCAAATCCCTGAAAATCTTTCCTTATTCCCAATTAATGTAGCAAAGAAAATTAAATTTTCCATTATAGAGACATAATTAACAAACCCTCCCAATTCATTTAATGAGACAGGTATCTTATAATCACTGTTAAATGAATTAAACATAGCTTCCCTCTAACCTTTCCTGGAGTTTGCAGAAATAGTCAGTTATAGAAGTATTTGAAAGACTGATTTGCTTTTAGATTCAGAAAAACATGCATTGTTTGTATTTGATAGAGGGGAAACAGAATAGAAAGATGTTAACATGTACATCCAGACTGTTTGCTAGTTGATCTATGCTGGTCTAAACATATAGATGAGGCAGGCATTTGACTGGTAGGATTTCAGGGCAGCAAAATGTGCTCTCAGTCCTCTTCCATCCAATGGCCCAGAATTCTCAGCAGCAGAAGCACTATGGAAAGAGATACACAACCTGTTTAGGATATATCACCCTTGGGCATAGGTTAACAACCATAACTTAAAACAATGGGAAGCAGAACTAAAAATTTTGAATTGAAGTCATCATGCCCCCCAAAATTTAATAGCAATGGGTGTGTCTTTATGGTGGAGAGAGCAGAAACAATGTGTTTGCTTCTAGGAATGACTCTAAAGAGCCAGATGGCAGTAAAAAGAGACTTGAAGCCTGACATGTAAAGTTAGAAAAGGACCAAAGACAAATTTTAACTTTTTCTTTTCTTTTTTTTTTTTTTTTTTTAAGATTTTATTTATTTGACACAGAGACAGAGAGGGAGAGAGAGCACAAACAGGGGGAGCAGCAGAGGGAGAGGGAGAAGCAGGCTTCCTGCAGAGCAGGGAGCCCGATGCGGGGCTCGATCCCAGGACCCTGGGACCATGACCTGAGCCGAAGGCAGATGCTTAACGACTGAGCCACCTAGATGCCCCTAATTTCAACTTTTTCAAATATTTTCTGGGGCTACCAGTCTAAGTGACCTTGTAGCAAACTGCTTATTTTTCTGTATTTTCAATTCATCTTCTGATTAAGGGCCTATTGATGATGAGCTCTCTGAGGCTATACCGTATTGTCTATTCTTATACTGTGTGCTGTTCGCTTTTACTCTTGCATAATCTGGAGCTAACTGCTTTGGTTTCTGTATTTTTATTTAGAGAAATACATACAAATCCTCTCTATTTAGAAATAAATGGCAATGCCAACTTTTGCAATTTACTTCATCAAATTTCTAGATTTAAACATTATTTGTCTTTAAGTAGACTTATGAGAAGACTGTATATTTGGCTACCAGTATTAGAAATCTAGAATTGGAAAGAACTTCAGAAAATACCTAATTTAACCACACATCTTTGTGAAAGATACAAAAATCAACCCAAGTCCCTGAGACTTGCTCCACTTCATATATCTCAAAGAAGAATCCATAATTACCCCTACTCTTCAATTCTAGATCCAATAATTTTAGATGTTAGAAAATAGTTTTATCAAACTTGGGTGATATCCCCACTTTATTCTAAAATAACTCATTTACTCTCTTCAATAAAAGTTTATTTTATTTAAATACAAAAAATAATTCTTTATTATTTTCTTTATTATTTTTCTTTATTACTATTCTTTATTATTTTTCTTTATTATTATTCTTTATTATTTTCTTTTCTAAATTGAATACTCCTAGTCCCTATAAGGGCCTTAATGAACTCTATCCAAATTTTCCTTTTCTCTTGGCCTTTGGAACCCAGAGCTGGACATGGTCTTTCAGTAAAAAGCTAACCTAGGTCTTCTGAATAGTAAAGTTTGTGGCATTCATTGTTTTCCACTTACTTTAAGTAGAGACAATATGGTTACAATTAAATTTAATGGACCTGATGCCTATCATGCATGAGTGAACTTTAAGAGGCCTGGAGCTTAGTGAAGGTTTGGGTAAGTACCCAAGAGTTTGGGCGCCATTTAAAAGTTTACTGTACATTTAAAAAGTGGGACCAGAAATACAAAGTAAAATAGTTTTCTGGGGCCATTTATTGAACTTCCTATCACAGCCGAATTTGGGGGAGATCGACTTTCTCTCTGACACTTTTGGCTTTAAACATTTTTAGAAATGAGGAATAAAAACAAAGCATTTTCTCAAATAGGTGAGGAT